GAAAAAAAAAAAAACAGGGTGAGAGTAAAATTAGCATTTTGAGGCAGAATGTGCACATTCTCTATAACCAGGATGGCATTAAATACCGTGTTCAGTCATTATTTTTTTCTCCAAACAGAAGCAACCCATAAGGCTCCAGAACTGGCTCATCAAAAAGCATAAGAATATACTGATTATTTGGTATTTCCTTCCAATTGAATTACTTGTTTCTGAGAAAATAACAAAAAAATCTGCATTCTGCTCTTGCTCTGCCTACTTCTCGTGGGATTTATTACAGAAGATAGAAAATAACTGGAAAATATGATGACTGACATTTGCCATTTTTTTGACTGACATTTATGCCATTCTCTCTGCATATGGAGCAATAAGTGCAGTAGAAAATGGCTCCTGTTGTTTATTAAATGGTATTCTTGCATATATTCCTACATACTTATTAAAAAAAAACAAAACCAAGACTGATGGAATGTATCTTGTTGTTTTGAGTGCAGAGACTGATATTTATAGAGTGAGAGAGTTTATTTTATGGTCTTGAGCCAAGCTCAACAAAGTTTTGTCTCCTGCTGGTATTCGACTAAGCCTCATCACAGAATTTGTTATTCTGGAGACAGTTATCACTCATGATCATCAACCCAGAGGTTTAGCCCACTGTTTGTTTAATCTTTTTAAAAAATGTTCAGAGTCTACATAGTCTTCCAGCAGAGGCATAACATGCTTATAATATATTTACACCTCATAGATATTTTTTGTGACCCTTTAGGAAGTAAGGCATGGACTCCTTTCTGTGATCTGTGGATAACAAGTTTATGTCCACTGGTTTGGCTATGATGACTGAAGAAATAATGTATATGAATAACAGATAAGATGTAGAAGCTTCAGTTTGCTTAAATCATTTGTACTTAAGAAAGTTGAAATCCTTCCCATCTTTTAGAATAAACATTCTTCTCAAGTCAGTACAATTTTTACAGGCTTTTCATCTGCACTTGCAGATGTGTGAAGAAAAGAATGTAGTTTCATGTATCAAATTCTTTTCTATAAAGGAGGATGAGCTGTATAATTTATAAATACAATAAAAGCAAACAGTCCGCTGTATCAAAACAATTAATTGCCAGAAACAGACTTAATACAGTATCCTGTGGGAAAATAGTGTGTGTGTTTCCTGTAGAACAAAAGAAGTCTTCCTACATTTAAATCAGTGGCAACTATGTCTTTGATTTTATTTGGAATTTCCTCCTGTGCTTTCCACAGTCCATTCCACAAAATGTTGGTGGGATACCAAAGAGGCAGTCCAGTCTGCTTTCAAACTTGTAATACAAAAATATTGAGGATTAAATTCTGTTCCTTCCATGTAAATATAGAAGGGCCCAGCTGGAGCCACTGAACTATTAAGGGCTCATATAAGTTAAGTCAAGGTGGGATTTTTTTGAGTATAGAAAGTATATTATTCCTTGCAGCTGTTGGGTGATATGGTGGTGGCTTTTTTGTATGAACATTTGATAAATTAATTCACAATGTGCAATAGCTGCTGAAGTATGTGAAAGAACCTCACAAAAGAGCAATTCTGATCTTCTCTTGCCCAAGTTCATGCTTCCGCTAGCAATGTTCAGTGTACCAGATACCACAGTAGTTCTACAATAGTAAATGGCTGTGGTACCAAGCTCGCATTAAAATTTCACCAAAAGGTAGACAGAAATGTCTTTGCTCCTCGAAAACATTCTCAAGGTCCACACAGTTTCTAATGAGTTTCCTTGTTGTCGTTTGGTGTGATAACAGCTATAATACTTCCTTCTCTGCCTTTCTGCTGTCCATTGCTTTGTATTTAGGAGCAAATTTTAGGGACTGGAAGCATGGCTACTCCCACCCTGAGGTAGTCCAACATAAAAATACAGTCTTCTACAGCAGGCTGCTTCCTCTCCTTCTCCCTCCTCTCCTCCAATTCAGCTTTTAATTAGCCCCTGTAAGATTTTCATATACCTCTTTAGTCATAACTTTGTGACATAGGAAGAGCTTTTTAGGTACTGGTATCCGAAAAGCTTCTAGTAGTATCAGTTTACACTTACATGAGGCCAGAAGGAAGAATTTAACCAGGGGAGAAGTACGTTTTCCATTCACACATTTAAGGTGTGAAGAAGTGCACCACGCATTTTACTACACAGTTGCTATGAAACAGAGACCTACAACTCAAAATAACAGCTGTTGTCTGTATGATGAAAATACATCCTTTATTTCTCGGTTTATTTTGAGTTATTTTCACTGTTTAATCAATATGAACATAGTACCAGGACTTTTAATATTTTCTTAGCATGTTGGTGTATTCACTGGAAATGTCAACCTAATCACATCAGATGAAACAGAAAAAACGGGGTTTTTTTCAAAGCTGATTAATTTTTTTTCTGTTTATTTGCATACCCTAAAAAAACATTTTGTTTTGCTGGATCCAAAATTCCTCTTACATGTCTAAAAGGTCTCTTTGTTAGAAAAGTTTCCCTATTAAACTGGGCCATACAGACAAAGCTGCTTCTGTACCCTTGGAGGACCTTCAGGACATAGTTTATGAGTCAACCCACCTGGATGTGTTTTAAACACTAAAGCAGCATCAACCTCCCATCCTCCATGGTACAGTGGGTTCATGCTGACAGGTAGGAGATGCCATTTTTCTCCCTTTAGTCAGGCTCCACAAGCCCCACTTAATTAGAAATTCTGACTTGGAGATTTAAGCAGGATTTCAAGAAGATTTTATGTTAAGTTTTTAATTTCATAAGTATAAGAATAGTATTTGCCTAAAATGAACCCTTTATAGAGAAAGTTTTCAAGCACTTGGCAATAGAAAAACTATTAAAGTGTTAAAAGTGATTTATTAAGTGATTTATTACTAATTGTGCTATATAGCACAGGTGGTTTCAGGCTATATTTACTACCATAGTGTGGCGGTGTGCTCTCCCTGGTTTGCACCCCCCCTCCCTCTCGGCTCCTGCCCGGCCTTGGCCACCACTGCATTATAACTGCATTATAAAATAAAGAGAAGATTCTATACTTCATGAAAAAACATATGAAATGAAGGAAATAGTAAATTTAGAAGAACAGAAAAATTACCAAATATATGTTTATTTACCACTCTCTATGCTTTTCTTAATGAGCAGAAGCAACCAGAGAAAAAAGCACTGACTTACAAAAAAATATTCTCTTTAGGCAGGGTGATATTGCATGAGATGTCCTACATGCCACGAGCAATCTATTAATTTAGATCTTCTCGACAGTGGACACCTATAATTCCTCATCAGCACTTCTAAGCTTAGGCAGGAAGAAGACGACGTTGTTTCTGGTTTTGCTAGTGAATTTCCAACATTAGAAAAAGAACTCCAATTGGACCCACGAGTACTGTATTGGGGCAATATTGTGGGAGTGCGATTCAAAGCTGTGCCTGAGCCCTGGAGGGTGAAAAATCATAGCTGTAATCTGCTTAAAATGTGGGAACTGGAGAGCCCCGAGTCCATAGCACCACTACATCAGCAGGGCTTCTCCATCACAGCAAAGTGAGCCGTGATTGCACAGCTTCTTGGCCATGCCCCTTCCACTGTTCCTCACCCTGGGCTTCCAGAAGAACCTTCAAGGACAGTGTCCTCTGTTACCTGTGACGGGGCTTTTTGCTAGTGAAGGCTTTTAGTGTTTTCACCTATGAGAAGAAATGAGATACGGCACTTGTTAGCTGTATATCTAACAAGAATCCATGGGGTATAAACCTTTGCAGAACTGGCAGAGAGTATAAAACTAGCAGGCTCAACTATGGGAAACATTAATTGTAAAGTTAAGAGTTGAACAGCAGTACTTCATGAAGAGCTGTCCAGAAGCAAGTGACAAAACAGCAGACCCCTAAACAAGTGTAACAGCTCAATCCAGCATTTCATTGCTATACCTGAAGAGGTCTTAAAACAAACTGTATTGCTACAGCACTAAATTATCTTAGAAGTGAAATATCATTTCTATGTTCTTGTTTTCCTTTTTGATGTTTGCTTTAATCTGTTTTGAGCATCCTTCTTTTTGCTCTTAGTTTGGCAGCTCCCAGATGACATCATAAATATGCATTTATCATTAAAATTCAGTTAAAAATTAAAACCATGCAAGAGAGTGCTTTAAGATACGGAATCTGGTATGTGAAAATATCTCTTCAAGCTCCACAGGTATTTTCTTCAGCAGTAAAACTAAAATCCACAAGGACTTGTTCTGTTGTGGTACAACAATTTGACAGCTTGCATTGGTACTGAAGTGGTAAAGACAATAAAAGATGATCCAGAAGCTGATACTGAAAATGATACATAATGTGAGTTGCTCTAATTTTTGCAAAACCAATTTGAACCCTTTTTTTGTCCAACTGACCTTCAGACAGTGTGTATTTTTACTATTGAAAAAAATGAATATCATATGAATGCATAGGCTTTTAGTAAAAAAACTTCTGTAAACAAACAGGACAGGCTTAGCAAATCATGTAGTGCAACTGCAAGGAATAACTTTTTAAATACACATGAAATAAAAAGTATTAATAATTAGTTGGCATTTAGTCATGTCTTGATTACCTAAAACATGGAAGGTAAGACTTAGAGAAATATCTATTATTTTCTGGAAAATGACTAATGTTTTCAGATAAAAAGAATGTATTTTGATGCTTGTCAGTAGACCCAGGATTTTTGTAATGATGAAAGTCAATGCTTTGTGCTGGTTTCTGTTCCAGTGGCTGGCACATTGACAATCCCCTGAATGCACTGAATGCAAGGAATTGTACACAGAATTTTCAAGAAAATATTTGACAAAATATTTGACAAAAATTGTGTCCAAAATGGTGAAAGATTTTACAAGAGTTCCCTATACATGGTGCAATTTGAGACAAAAGGCTCTTGCCAGAAAAACTGCTGGTAGTTTGGGTTTTCAGCAACTGCAGCTAAGGGCTTGTTCAAACTTCAACTAGCTGATACTCTCTCACTTAATGCATGATCTGTATCTCCTTTTAGGATTGGTGGAGCTGTGCCAATAGTCTTCTCCTATTTTTCGGAAGTGCTTGCTCGGGAGAAACGAGGTGAACACCTGAGTTGGCTCTGTATGTTTTGGATGATTGGCGGCATCTACGCTTCTGCAATGGCTTGGGCAATAATTCCTCATTATGGTAAGAAGAACCTCTCCTTGTGATTTGTAGCTCTTCTAGTATGAAAGCAAACCTCTAGAAGTGTCGTCTAAAGACAGGATTTCATGTCAGTTCTCAAAATACTGACCCTGCTGTTCAGGAAAAAATTGACCTCTTTTGGTGGAAATAATGAGTCTAGGTTGTACCCTTAATAGCAAACAATATATTAAAAGGTGAAAAAATTAGCCAATACCCATGTTTATTTAGATTCTTTAAATTCCTTAAAACCTGAACACATGAAAATATAACTGGTATTATTGTTGAATTTGGAGAAAATAGGTGATGTGGAGACTTACATTAGAGAAAATAAATATTAAAATGCTGACTGTAAAATTTGTGCTCACTTTGTTTGATACAGAGATAAAATGTCAGTTATACATTAAGGACTATCTTAACCTTTGGAGTGCTAGTTCTGAATATAAAGTTATGCTGAATGTTTCATTCTTTTTAGTGATGTAGAAGTAGAGAAACTGAACAGAGTGCATTTAAATGCTGTAGGGGTGAATGGGGGCAAAGACAGAAAGCTTGCAATGGCTGAAGTTATACACACATGCAATATAAGCCACTTTGTGAAAGAGCTCTTTACTGCTCTGAACAGGTTTAAACATTATGTGGAGGTACAGACTCAGTTCTTAGTCTCTTGGGCTTGCCCTGTAGAAGAGTTAAGTGCTCGTGGGTCTCCAGGGTTGCTGACACTGCTCAGGGGTTCTTAAAAATCAGCCTCTGCAAGCACTTCTCCCTGGCACTCCTCAAGACAAGTAAAGCAGCACTGTGAGTTAGCTGGCATCCCAGGCAGCTTTCTTTAGCCAAGCAATGAGGTTTTTTGCACTTGGGCTGTTAAAGAGAGGACAACTTCATAAGGTTTGCCCAAAGTGATTGGAACATTTAGCAAGCAGTAATATCCAGAAATAAATTACAATCATGCAGACTAATCAAATATCTAGACTGTTGCATTAAAATTAATTTTAGAGTCCAACACATGCAACCTGAATCTACGTCTTCAACCTTGCCTTTTGGCTTTGAATTGCTGGAATCAAAGAGAGGAATTTTTGCTGACAAGGCACAATGTGGATAATTTATCTTTTTTCCAATTAGTAAATTGCTCTGGATGCTAAGTACTTTTTGCTTCCCTAAGGATTTTTATTTTCTTTATCTTTCAGTGGAAAATGTGAACATTATGACAGACTGATTTACATTGGTTTTCTAATTTCTTTGTAGATTTTATAAATAACTCAATAACCTCTACTGAGGTACTTTTAAAACGTCATACAGCAGTATACCTCAATGAATAATAATGCACTTCCTCGTATGAAAGCAGTGGCACTAGAGGGAAAAATTTTCTTCTTTCATTAGCAGTGAAAGAACATCAGCAACAGCCATGCCACATTGATTTTTTTTTTGTATATGTCCTTCTGCAAAAATATTTATTAAATTACTTAAGACAAAAGAATGTAAAGACCAATTTTAAAAGACAGTATTCTTCAGTGTTAGCCATACAAATCACTCTCCTTGCAGTATATTAAGGAAAGTTCTAATAGTCAAAAAGAGTTAATAGCTAAAAAGCAAGCTATAGACAACAGAGATAATCCTTTCTCACAAGAAGTGGGTTAACCTATCATTTTGGCAAAATTAAACAGCATGTATTTATGGGGTTTGATGAGGTCTTAAAGTTGTTTTCACTTTAAATCAGACTTTTTCACTATGTCGTGAAGTGTAAAACCTGTGTCTTAGTTCCTAGTACAAAGGTGGAATCCCACCCTAACTCAGGACCAGGGGCAAACTGCTTCGTTGCCACGATGCTGTGCCGAGCTCTCAGGCGTTGCCAGGGGCTCCCAGGGCAAACCCTGCTCTGGCACTCAGGAGACCACAGTCATGCATAGCTGTACCCTTCTGGAAACACACCAGGTCAGGCGAATACCAGTGCAGATCTTTGCACCGTTCGTATCACATCCATGCATCAGGAGACTCTTGTAGTGGTGTTTTCTCTTTTACAACTTCTACATAGTTTCCATGGAATTATTTTGCCAGAATTAAGCGAAGATTCAGATTTTTCTCTAAATGACTTCCAGTCCTTCTCATTATTCACGTCCCCACTGACCAGGAAGCAAAACATAATTATAAGCAAAGCAGCCCACCCACTTGCTTTATATAGTGTGTAAGGATTTCTGAGATTTCTGCTTCTCACATGAGGAGTAAACAGAGCTGATTTTTCCCAGTTGAACTCAGAAGTTACTCAACAGCAGTGAATGAAGTTACGTCTGTTGAAAAGCAGTAAGCTGACATTGAGCATCATCGAGTTATTCTGAAATGAATAGAAAAATACCAGGCCAACAAAGTAGAATGGTTTTATAGATTATTTTTTTTCCCTTCTTCTTTTACAAATGTATTCCTTAAATTTGTACTACCTCTTATATAAGCCACTTTAAAAAGTCCTAGATTCACAGCCGATATACATTATCTAGCCCAAGGCAGCCAGTGAAGCTATCTATACAAATTTACTGGTTGAAGATTTAGCTGTATTTTCTGTGAGAAAACAAAGATTATATTCTTTATATGTAACAGTTTATCTCTGTTTCTGTTCAAGCAGCACAGGAGTGTCTGAAACCTGAGTAACACTCTGAAACACAAAATAAAGGGAAACTGACAGTTGCCTTGGCATGAGCGTGTTGTTAAGAGAGGAATCAGAGTGATGTAGCACTGCAGTGACCACATATGGAAAGGCTAATATTATCTGGAAGACAAGCCTATCTGTCTCGGCACTTCTTGAATTCTACAGCTGTTGGCTTTTTTAAAAAAATTGAAAATAGATGCAGACTTGTTCAGGGTCTCTGAAACAGGCGTTCAGGTCATGGAGAAGCAATGAGAAGAAACATCTGCAAAGAAATTCTTCTAACTGCTGCCATAAACAAAGTCCAGATTAGGATGCTACAAAGAAATTGCTTGATGCACTACTTAGATCAGGCTGGATAGGAAGGATAATTACTGTTTTATAAATATTTTTGCAAGTGCAACTTTAAATTTAGTATCATGTTTCAAGATAGATTAGTTCAAAAACTGTCAAATGCATCAAATGTGTATTACAATATTCTTTAAGATTCATTTTTCAAATACCGAAGAACCTTAAGAGTGAGAAATGGCTTTTCAGTTTAAAATCCAGATAGTGATATATTACCTTTTGATACACCAAGTTTATGTGTCAATCTGACAACAGGAATCAAAAAGAATTTTGCAAGTTCCTCTAGCCATTTTACCTCTTTAATAAAAAAAAAAAAACAAAACCAAAACCCCAACATTATACCATATCTCCAAACTAAAAATCAGAGGAAGTTGGACGAGGATTTCAGTGCATTTAACCTATATTTTGGTATTCCATGTAGTTTTTTATTTTGCGTGTATGAAGCATACAAGCCTTTTCTGGCTTCATAAACTACAGAAAAACCTTTCAAAATTCAAAACATTCCCTAGAGTATTTTGCTTGGTAGCAAATATTGATCATATTGATTTGTAAATCTCACAAATCAATGAACAAGAAGGGGAATATATGGCTGAAAAGAAATTAGATTGCAAGGTAGAGAACAGGATGGTGCTGGTGTCCAGGTTGCTACAGCATAAGCTGCAGTTATGTCTGAAGGTTTCCCCACACCTTAACACCCCACTTCTGGTATTACCAGGAGAGAGAGGAGACAACTATGTCAAATGCCTTAGTGAACAAATCTCCATGGTACGATCAGAGGCAGAGACATATACTTCTATGTATATCTGTCACATTCCAATTAAATTAGGCTAGATTATTCACTAAAAGACTACAAAATTAATGATGTGGAATCAAGGAAACAGGAAACATACTAATACAATGCAAAAAGTAGATTTATGTCTTTAGCTTCAACATTTTATTTATACCACTGTAACAGACTGCGTAACAGATCTCCATCTAAACTATTCATTTTTCATCAGTAGTCTTTTTTCCACTTAATTGAGGACCAGCTACTTGTGCTCATAAAATAGGTATTTAGCACCATTCAGAGAACACAAATTTGGAGGAGAAAGAAGAGGAAAAAGAAATGGAAGGAAAATGCATTTCATTTCAGAACTGAAGATTTCTTGCCTAGCTGTAATGTGTCTTTTAAGTTTTAAATACAGATGTAATAAAGTTCTAACACAAACTGCCAAATGCAGTTACACAATCTCCATCACTGGAGATTTTGAAGGGCACATCAAACCACAACCTGTCCTCAATATTTTAGGACCATGCTAAATTCACTAAACCTACTACTGGAAACACATTACCCATTCTTAATTCTACTTTCCGTAAGTAGATAAGTCTCTTCATAGGCACAGGAATCGATAAATGGTTTCTATTTCTAACTGGGTGAAATTGTGATTAGGGTGGACCAATCTGTTTTCCTTTTAAGTAACTTGCAAAATGGCCTGAAAAACATTTCTCAATTTGTAGCAGCAGACTGTTGAGGTCAAGAAGATCAAGTCACTTAAGTAATTAACTTCACTGGCAGTCAAAAAGATCTTTTTATTGCCTCTTTGATAGGTGGCTCAAGAGTAGTTTCTGTAGTATTATGTATTGTCATGTTTGCTTTGTTCTTGTGTCGTCCAGTTGGATATAAAAAAGTTAAAAATATCTTCAAAACTGCAATGAAACCGCCGTCTGTATGAAACTGTTATGAACTATGCTGCAGTAAAATAGGCAAGGAGATAAGCAGAGCTGCATGCAGCAGCTATGCAGATGAGGAGATGGAGAGCTACTGGCTCACTGTGCGACTCAGAGCATGTACAGCACCAGGGGGTGTTGACGAAGGAGTTAGTATCTCAGCCTGCAGCAGGCTGAACTGAGAACACGGTGGACTAAAACTGTTCAGTGGCAATAAAATCAGAAAAACTTTTAACTCCCTTATTCTATCTTTTTGCATTGGGCTGAAGGGTTTGTCAGTGGCACCTGGCAGCAGCAGTACTGGAATAAAAAAATCCTG